ATGGCTTAAAACATGTTTTTCATGAGCCGCTTTCACACTTGCAAGGGGAATTCATCCTACAGGAGCCTGGAATGGGCTTTGATGTAATTGCATGTGGAGGAGCAGAGCGCGAAGCTAAAAAGCCTCCTTTTTGGCTCTGCTTGGGCCATTGTAAAGCAAAATACATGGGGAAGTGAGCAGGGAGCCAGCAGAGCCCTGCAGGCTTCTGTGTGCTGCAGAGGTGGGATTACCTGGAAACCAGTGGCCTGAAGGCAATGCAGTTCTTTGCTTTCAAGGGCTGGATGATCCTGCTGCACGTTAGCTTGGATTTGTTTTGGGAATCCCCTCATCTGCCTTGTAGCAAATCCCTGCCCCTCTGCTATAGGTGGCTATGGGGATCAGCATCACCTGGGTGAGGACCAGCGTCTCTTGAGCAGCTCTCAGCATCCCTTGGGAGGAGTCTGGGGTGTTTATGGGAATCTGCAACCTCAGGTAGCTCAACAGCAAATGCCATATTAAAAAATGGGGTTACAAGTTGCTTAAATCAGCTTGGTGAAATGAAATAGCCCTTATGGGACATGGTGCAGGCCCTGGGCTTTGCTGCAGGGCAGTGGCTGGCCATTGAAATAACCTGGGGCAGCATCAAGTTATTTATAACCCAGCACCAGAACAGGGCTGGTGCACGCCCTCAGATGGGTTTTCATCCTCCAGGGAGGCTGTGCAATTAGCATGGCCCTGTTTCTGTGGACAGTGAGGCCTTTTAAAGATGCTAATGAATTAATCCTAGGCAGACTGGTCCCTCTGGATGAAAGGATCTGTGATACCTCATGAGCTCAGAGCCTAAACTAGGCTTCAGGTTGTGCTTCCCCCTCGCCCTGGGTGAGTGCTGAGACTGTCAATAAATCTTCTCCAGAATATTTAAAAATCACTTTTTTTGCCCATAAATGTGAAATCCAGGCACTTAATCCCAGCCTAAACCCTTCCATCCATCCCCAGCAAGGAGGAAGATTTACAAAGCCTGCAACGAGCTTGGAAATCCTGCACAGCAACCCATCAGCAGATGGGCAGGTCCTGCTCTGGGTTTACAAATCAGGCCAATAAATGCCAAATAAGAGCTTTTTCTCCCTTTGCATATCTTGGTGGCTTGGCCTATGGAAGGGATTTAAAAGCTCCTCAGGGGGGCCTGGGCAGGGATGGAGCGGCCGCTGCTTGCTGCAGCACCCAAAAGCTGCTGAGTCAGCTGGTTTTGAGCACACCCCAACCTTTCCTCAGCACAGGGTGTGCTCAAACCCGTTTCTCAGCCAAATGAAGTCAGGGAGTGGCTGAATAAATCAGCTTTGCTTCCACTGAAAGGCAGAGGGACTGCTCAGCATGCTGGGCTCGCCCTGGTCCATGCGTGCTGGGTGCTCGAGGGGAGACGCATCAGATGGTCCAGACGTTCCCTGCTGCGATGGAAACCTCGATTCTCAGTGTCCCAGTTTAGCTCAGCTTCGTTCCCAGCAGTATTCAAACTTGGCTCGATGCAGCTCATTTGCTGCTTCAGTTTTAAGGAGTGAGAACGGGTGAAAATCCATTTGCATGGGGCTGAAGAAGATGATGGCAGCTTTACCTGGGAGCTCAAATTGCCCAGCTTCTGCTCAGGCAGCAGTGCCAAGCTCCTGCTGCAGTAGGATGGAAGGTGAAGGGTCAAGATAAGCCAGCACCAAGGCTGCCCAGTGTCCCTGGGTGTTCATACTGGTGTCACTGGTTGGTGCAGGAGCTGCTTTGCGATGGCAGCAGCCCCCTTGCAGTACCAAGGGTGGGATGGAGGGACGTGGGGCTTTCTGTGGTCCCTGCACCAAAGTGGGTGGCTCTGGGTGACGGCAGGTCTAAAGAGCACACAATACACTGGATATTGCATGCCATGCACTGGGTCCTGCACACTGCTGCGTTTCCAGGTCACCCAAAGGTGCTCAGCGGGGTATAGGACCATTCTCCCCCCATGCCGGGGCTGCCATGTGGGACCTAGGTTAGTGCCAGCATGATGGAGCAGGGGCCCCTGAGCTTGCGGTCATCAGACTCCATCCCATCCCTCTGTATTTTAAAGCCCTATTCTTTCCCTGTCCCTCTGATAAGGAATGCTAATGATGTGATGAAACCGGATAGTTCGGTCGCCTTCTCCTTCTAATGGAACTCTTGTGTTCGTTAATTTGCTGTTTTTAATGGGCTGGTTGTTCTCCTGTGCCGGGGGAGCCACGTGAGCCCTTCAGTGTGTTTTGCCGTGGTCAGATGTGAGGTGGTGCTTGAAGGCAGCTGAACCTTGGTGCTCAATAATTGCAGAGCAATTTGGAGACAAGACCCAGATGTATAATTTATCTCTGCTTCGGTCAGCCTGGTGACAAGCGGTCACAGAGATGCTCGTGGAGTCCCCTGGGGACCTCTGCCCACCTCCCTATGCATTGGGGAGGGAGAAAAACCTTACATTAATGAGGATTCCTATGGCCTGCAGGGCAAGCAGTTGCAGAGCCCTGATGAGCTCACCTGCCTCGGTACTGCTGCCTCTGCAGAGGGAGGCTGGGTGCCGAAGGATGCTCAGCATCCCGCTATTGGGGTGTTTCGGCTCCCGGCAGGAGCATGGCCATGGAGGTAGATGAGGATCAGCCCTCCCTATTCCCCAATCCCAGCTGGACCCGCTGCCTGCTTGTGATGGTGTGAAGTGCCTGGGAAAGCCCTTTGCTTGGCTCTTGATGCCAAAGGGTTCCAGGGGAACAGGGGGGGATGCCTGGAGCAGAGCCCCACTGCCAGCCTGGAGTGGCTGGGCAAGCGGGTAGTAACCAGGTGAGGGCTGGGGAATAAATCCCCTCCATGCCCTGGCTGTCCCAGCAAAAGGCAGTGGATGTGGCTCCTGCCTGCAGTGGTTTTCCTACAGCAGCCTTTGTACGTGGCCTCCCGCAGCAGCCCGTGAAAGCCGGGTCTTACCACGCTGCCCACTGCACCGTGATTTAATGTCACCATTATTAATCACTGCTCTGGCTGATTAATGTCACCATTAGCTTCGTTAAAGTGTGTCACTACTGTCTCCTGCCGTGCTGCAGGCGTGGGGAGCTGTGGGAGGCAGAGCCTCATCAGAGAGGGGAGCAGGATGGGGACCAACAGCATCTGCCCTGCTGCTCCTTCCACCCCAAAGCTGCTGCACCAAGGGGGGATGGATCCCTCCTGAGGGATGGGGCTGGTGGGGTGCATGGAGCAGCGTTGTGGGGTGCTGCTGGCATTCCCCATGGCCAACAGCGGAGTGAGGCCCCCCCCAGTTAGCCTCCCAGTATCCCAAGCCTCTGCCTATCTGGGGAGCGTTGGTGCCGGCTCTGTTTGCTGTCTGGAAGCCGTAGCCAGCGAGGGAGCTGTAAGCAGAGCGCATTATCTGCTCCAGACAATTAGCAGAAGCATTAATGGAATATATGCAAATGTGCAGTAATTGACCTGCGACTCCGCAGTTCATGATGGAGAAGGATGAGCTCCAGATGGCTTAATGATAGTAATTTAAGCCCCTTCTTTATATGCTGCGCTTCCTTGCCATAGTGTGGCAGGACCAAGCCCAGGCAGGGAAGAGGGTGGGTGACAGCAGGGATGCTGGGCACCAGATTGAGCCCTGGGGATACCCCATTTACATCCCAAACCACTCTATAGCCATTGCCCATATAAAGTCCCAGGAAGGGTAGGTCGAAGCACAGAACAGGATGGGAAGCTCTAAGTTCCCACGGAGCATCCCATTCCCCACTGGCTGCTGGCCAGGGAGCCCGGGAGAGCAGCCAAACACCAACAGCTCCATGGGATCATGGGGCTGGGGGATGCTCACCCATAGCAGAGGGGGCTGGACCTGCGCCCATAGAGGTGCCTGCAGATGCAAGAGCCTGAATAGCAATCGGTCTCCTGGCTTGGCTGCTGCTCCGAGCTTACTCGGCCTTTACTCAGGCTGAGGGGGTATTTGGGGGAGCCCAGGGGGTTGTTACCCCACAGTGATGCTCTCCACGCAGCCTGTCTTCAGCTCCACAGGAGCTCACCTGGCGGAGGCAGAGGTGCCTGGATACCCGCTCCGGGAGCTCCGATTAAAATATTTATGTATAATTCATGCCATATGTTCCACCAATATTTTTTATTTAATCAACTGAAGACAGATGGCAGGAACATGGAGGCCATTAAACGAATGGCACTTTGTCTTCCCATTTATTTTCCTCTCCTTTCCTAAAATAAGATGAGTCCGTGACAGGCAGCACATCCCAAGCACAGGGCTGGCCCTATCCCCACTGATGTGCCAGAGTGGCATCTGCCACTGTGAAGCCAACCCTACCAAGTAACCTGGGGTGGTGGTGGTGTCCTCCGTAGCTGGAGGGTTTGGAGGAGAAGAATCCACCTGAGGGAGAAGATCCTGGTCCATGGGAGAGCCATGCTGGGGATGGCATGGGGACAATGTGCTTCTGTGGGGGCTCCAGCCCTATGTGCGTGTGCACAGCTCGTCATAGAATCCCAGCCTGGTTTGGGTTGGAAGGGACCTTAAAGCCCATCCAGGGACCCCTTCCACTGGAGCAGCTTGCTCCAAGCCCCTGTGTCCTTGAGCACTTCCAGGGATGGGGCAGCCACAGCTTCTCTGGGCACCCTGTGCCAGCGCCTCAGCACCCTCCCAGGGAAGAGCTTCTGCCTCAGAGCTCATCTCAGTCTCCCCTCTGGCAGGTTAAAGCCGTTCCCCTTGGCCTGTCCCTGCAGGCCCTTCCTCACCCCATGGAGGGACGGGCACTGCGATCCTGCGGTGCTTTCCCAAGTGCACCTTTCCCTTTGCCTTGCAGGTGGAGGTTTCTTGCCCTGGGAGTGAGATGAATGGGGCTTCCTCAGACAAAGGGTCCCAGTCAGCGTCTCAGGCCCCGGGGTGCGTCCAGGGACTTTCTATTCTTCGTCTGAAAGGGCACCGGTGCCGTTTCCATTAGGGAGATGCTCGCTGGAGCCGGTGCTGTGCTGCCGAGCGGAACGGCGGCGAGCGGGCGAGGAGCTGATCGGCTTTCAAACCCCCTTCAAACCCTCCATTCCCTTAACATGATCCCTCCGTCAGCCGCAGCCCGGGGGCACAGCCGGGGGGCTTTGCCCGGCGGAGAATAAACCTAGGACAACGCCGAAGAACCCCTCTGTGCACTGCAAGAGGGGACTGCAAATCCACCCTCACCGCCTTCCCCAGCCCGTGTAGGGCTGGGCCATAACTCACCCTGCAACCAACGCTTTCGGGGCAACCAAGGAGCCAAGCCCAACCCAAGGAGGGTCAAACCCCTCCTTTGGAGCATCCCTGTGGCCGGAGAGCAGCTCCCCGCGGGAGGGATGAAGACGCTATGGCCAAGTTGCTGGTAAAACTCCAGCGGTACTTTCGGCGGAAGCCCGTGCGGTTCTTCACGCTGCTGGCTCTCTATTTGGCAGCCGGGAGCTTGGTTTTCCTGCATTCAGGCTTTGCCGGGGAGTCCACGGTGACCGGGAACCAGCGCGGCACCGGGACCGGCGAGGGGCCGGGGCTGCCCTACCTGGGGGTGATGCAGCTCAGCCGCGGCTTCAAGGCGGCGGTGACGGTGCCGGAGCGGGGCCGGAGGCACGGACCCTGGTTCAAAAGCACCTCCAAGGAGCCCGTGGAGAGGAGCAAAGGTGGAGACTACGGCAGCGCCCGGAGCCGAGCGATCAGGAGCAGGAGCGGCCGTGAGAAGGAGGAGGACAGAGGTAAGGGCTGGGGATGCGCTGTGAGGGGCTCACAGAGCCATGGAATGGTTTGGGTTGGAAGGGACCTTAAAGCTCATCCAGTTCCAACCCCTGCCACGGGCAGGGACACCTTCCACTAGAGCAGGCTCCATCCAGCCTGGTCTTGAGGTGCCTGGTCCCTCCTGGCCTCTCCCAGGGAAAGCCTCATGCACTGGGGCTATGGTCTCCAGTCGGTTTGGTTGTGCACCCCTAGGAATGAATTTCTGAGCAGGTGCCCCCATAAATGTGTATGTATTTACTTATGCACTAAATGCACATGCTACTCGAGCACTGAGATTTTCTTCCCGCATCCCATGGGCTGCCCTGCGCATCCCCTGGGGCGCAGCACCCCGCTTTGGAGACTGCTGGTCCAGAGGATGTTCCCAGGAATGTTCTCTCTCCTTCCCCTCCTTCCTCCTTTCCCCAATGGCAATAATCCCCCTTTGGTTTTCTTTCCCACTTGTGTCCCTGCCCATGGCAGGGGAGTTGGAACTGGATGATCTTAAGGTTCTTTCCAACCCTATGCTATGATTCTATGATCAAGCTTTGAGGTGCACCTTGGTGGGACGGGCACTTTTGGGGGTGCCAGCTGGGAAGACCCTGTCTTCATTCCATCCCTTGGCAGTGCCATAGGCCAAACTGCGGTTGAATTCAGTTGGCCCCAGTGACCGCTAACCCCAGATCTGGGGCCTCTTTGCGTTGCAGGGGGATCAGGCAGGGACTGGCTGCGATTGCCTTGTGGGCAGTGATGTGCAGGCAGGGCTGGGCTGTGGCTTTTCAAGCCAGGAGATCCCTGCCTTGATCCCTGAGCAGGGCTGTTATTAATGAGCAAGGATGAGCGAACGTGGGAGTTCTCATTGATTTCTAAGATGACATTCATTTATCCTGAAGGCAGCAGAACTCGGGTGGCTCAGAGCTGCCCATCAGGGCTTCTGCATCCCAGTGGGTATTCAGCACATCGCCTCCCTTCCCTGGTACCCACAAGCACCCAGTGCCAGTGAACCTCACCCGAATGCACCCTGCATCCCCTCTGTGCTGGCTCAGGAAGGAACTGGGAGCAGGAGCTGCTGGAAAGGGGTTGGGATGCTGCCAGGCTCTTCACTGCCTGCCTCTGCTCATTCCCCTCTCCTGAGCCCAAGGGGGGGTGAAGTCTCTGGTGGGAGGATGCCGTCTCCTGGGGAACCCTGGTGTCCATTGCTCTGGAGCTTCCCCATGGGGCTTGGCGCAGGCAATTCCTTGGGCATCCCAGGCTGGGAGCTGCAGTTCCCTGGACCCTTGATGGAGCAGGGGGTGTATGGCTCAGGGAGAAGGAGGGAACCCCCCAATCCTGTGGCAAATTGGGGGTGCCATGGGGGTCACCACACTGAGCCAGGCTTGGTCCCAGTGCACGGGGCGGGGGGGGGGCTCATCCTCAACCACCAGCCCCATGCAGCAGGTCGGTGCTGATGTTCCCCCCAGGCAAGATGCATGGCCCAGGCTTGGAAGCAGGAGGAAGACTGGTTTGTGGTGCTTAAGGGACTTTCTCATGCTAAAACGAGATGAAAGCGGGTTTCCCGCTGTGCCCCCATGCCGAGGGGTCCCCGGGGGGAGGTTCTGAGGCTGCTTTGCTCCATTAATACAAATTGATGTTTAGTGACTCCTCACCAGCTGGTTCATGAGCCCGAGCTGTCAGTCACCATGAGAACCCCAAGCAGTGCTCCTATCCTCAGCCATATGTGACGTGTCCACCACGATTAACCTCCACCAGCACCACCGCCTCTGTATGCCCAGCCCCAGTGCGAGCTGCAAGGGATGGGGAAGGGATGCTGGGCTCGGGCATCACTGCCTCACAGTTTGCCTGGGAACATCATCTTTGTCCCTGCTGACTCCTGCTGGGAAGGCTCAGTGTGGGCAGCTCAGTGGGTGATGGGAGCCAGCGCAGACCTGGCAGCTGCAGGGGATGCGGTGCCACCACGCGAGCATCAGGCAGATGGTGCAGAGGAATTCCCTAAGGAATTCCCCTGAGCTCCATGCACCCGGCGTGCCCATGGGGCTGGCAGAGCCTCAGGGATGGGTGCGGAGCCCTGCTCCCCTCCGAAGTGCCCCCCTGCTTCCCTGGGCAGTCACGCAGGAGCCAGCAGGTTTTAACGATGCTGGTAATTAAGCAGGGGCCGGATTAACGAGGCGGCTGTGGAGGCTTTGCCACGTGAAGTCATTCCGCAGGGAATACTGCTTCCGAACTCAGCTCTGGTTTAGTGTGATGTGCGGCTCTGGCTTCACAGGGTGATGTGCCTCCCTCCTCCTCCTCTTCCTCCTCCTCCTCCTGGCTGCACTGCTGGAGCCCCAAGGTCAGGCTAAGGCACAGTCAAGGGCAGCCCTGTCTGCCAGGGAACGGCTTCAGCTCCTCCACATCCCCATGCAAAGGTGCATCTCCTGCCTCAGATCAGGGGTCATTTTGGATGGTGAACCCTGGGGAGCAAGCACCAGCCCCTGGCAATGCCCAGCAATCGCTTCCTCTCTGCCACATCCATCTCTGGTCCTCTCCTGGATGTCTCCTCTCGCTGCTCAGCACTCAGTGCCTAACCCACCCCAGCAGCTCCCCCTCCTCACTCCTCCTTCACTTCTGTCCTCGTATCTCCCTAATTATTCCAGTTGCCTTCCCAATAAGTCGCAGCACGCATATGTCAAGCGCAGTGGGCTGAAGGTAATGCGCATCAGTCACCAGCCCCGTGCCGATGACTGGAGTGATCCTGCAGTGCTTGGATCCGTCAGGGCCGAGATGAGCTGGACCTGCACAAACCTGCTCAGCGCGGCGGAAATGCCACCTTATGCTGAGAGTAATTGAGAGCAATGAGCTGTGACTCTGTGGGGCTTCAAGTTCCTCCTCCTCCCCTTGCCCCCAGGCTGGCTTAGGGGTGGTGGTTTGCAGTGCCGGTGGTGGGGAGCACGTGTGGGGCACGCCATCGATGGGGTGTACGCATGGAAGTTGGGTCAGGGACCCCCCCAGATGCAAAATGCAAGCGGGAGGTGAGAGGTTTTGCCCCATAGTGTGGTTTGGTATTGAAGGGGCACATGGGGAGACGCTCCACTGTTATGATCTGGTGTGTGATGGAGACATGGAGATAGAAGGAGAGACACGGGGTAGTCTCCGTGCTTGCCTAGAGCCATCGCTTCACTCTTGAGCAGAGCAGGGCCCTCACCTCTGCTCCTACCCTGACTGTATTTCTCCATCCTGTGTTGCTGCCGTGGCAGAGTGGAGGAGATGGGTTATTTTACCATGTAACTGATCTCTTTTTGGAGCCACTTTGCTCAGCATCGAAGCTGCTGGGAAGGAAGATGGACAGAGAGGAGAAGCGCTGGTGCAGATCCACAGCATCCTTTCTATCCATAGTGGGTGTTTGTAGCCCTTCCAGGGGCCTGTTGCACCCAGAGCTCGTGTTTCTAAAGCAAGCCAAGCTGTGTATCCCCATTAGGGAAGAATCCAAAGAGGAGGGTGGGGATTAGGGGGCTCATCCCTGGCTGGCTCTTACCCCCCTCTCCTCTCCTCTGTCCCCAGCAAGATACATCGGCTGCTATGTGGACAACACTCGCCGGCGAACGCTGCGCGGCATGTCCTTCTTTGACTACAAGAAGATGACAGTCTTCCGTTGCCAGGACAACTGTGCCGAGCGGTAGGACAGGCACCACGTCTCCATCGATCCCCACACACATGGGAAGGGCACTGTCAGGGCTCCGGTTTGGTGCTGGGGCATCCTCGAGCACTTCCATCCACCAAAGCAGTGGCCCCCACCGAAAACAGCCTCCTCTGCTGGCACAGGGAGTCCATGAGCACCTGGGGAGACACACGGATTCCTTGCTGCAGGAGCTTTCTCCTTTCCCCACTGTTAGATGCAGGATGTGCGCTTACCATGGTCTGTGCCAGCAGAATAGGATAGGACAGAGCAGAAGAGGATGGGATTAGAATAGGATGGGATAGAAAAGAATATTTCCAGTAGGAATGGACCTAAAATGATCATCTAATCCAACAAAGCATCCTTGGGATTCAATGCTGTTTCCAGATCAAAGTGTGAGCCTGCTGCAGCAGGGATGCTCCTGCAAAACCCCATGGCTCCAGGGGGCTGCCTGGGGATGTGCTGAGCACCCCTCATCTCCCTCTTCCCAGGGGATACCTCTATGCAGGGCTGGAATTCGGTGCCGAGTGCTACTGCGGGCACAAGATCCAGGCATCCAACACCAGCGAGTCTGAGTGCAACATGGAATGCAAGGGGGAGAGGAGCAACACGTGCGGTGGGGTCAATCGCCTCTCCATCTATCGCCTGGAGCTGGCCCAGGAGTCCGCCCGGAGATGTAAGTGGGAGCCATGGATGCAGCTCCCTGCACAGCCCTGGAATCTGTGCGGTGTGAGCCAGGTTGTGGCTTGAGAGAGGTGGTTTGAAGGTGGTTTTCAGGGCATTTGGGGGGACTTTGGATGAAGAGTGCTTCCCGGATGGACCATCATTGTGTTCAGTGGGTGCTGCCGGCAGAGCTGGCTGCGGGATGAAGGATGCGCGGGAGCGCCGGAGGGAGCTGAGGGTGCTCCCCATCAGTGGCACTCATTTGGCTCCCAATTAGGCAGCGTTATAATTACCCACATTTGCTGCTTTTCTTCCCTCGTTCCCAAGCAATGGGAAGGAGTTCAGAGCTCCCACCAGTAGGCACGCAGTGAAGTAGTAGAGGAGAGAGGTTGAGGGTGCCTGGGTAAACGCAGTGATGGGTGAGGATTCAGGATGGGAACCCTCAGGGCACCAGTGCAGGGTGGATGAGGCCAGACCCAGCCCTGCTCTCCCTGTTGGCTCCATCCCTCCTGCAGCCTGGGATCACCGAGGTGATAAAAATAGGGAGGAATGAATAAACCCGACTTTGCTGCCGGGGCTTTCTCTCTGGTTTTGCACTGTAAGCAGCCTTGTTAGCAAGTGTTGAGTCACAGCCAGAGGGTGATGAGAGCTGGGGGAAAGCAGCGCTGTGCTGATGGAGAGGATGTGCAGGATGATTGAGATGATGGGGATGGGGACACCGGGGCGCACAGGGTGGCAGCGGCATCGCTTTTGTGGTGCAGCCTCGTGGCTGGACCAGCATCGCTCTCAGTGATGCCCTGGTCCTTCTCCCTTGCAGACGGCAGTGCGATATTTCGGGGGTGCTTCCGCCAGCCAGACAACGTCTCCATCGCCCTGCCCGTCAGCCAGCTCATGCTGAACATGTCAGTGGACAAGTGCGTGGACTTCTGCACTGAGAAGGTACCAGGGGTGCAGGTCAAAAGCTTAATCATCTAAATAGTCATCTGAAAGGGCCATGCTGCGTGACTTTTAATCTGATTTAGTGCCGTAATTATGTGTATGCAGATTACAGAGGATCAGATCGGTTGTCTGTGTCCCTGCCATGGGGAGGGACTGGACTGAAGGTCCCTGCAGTGGCAGCACCCGCTGCCTGCCCTGCCTGCTCCCCATGGCTCTGCCCCTCAGCAGGCAGGAGCATCATGGGGTCCTGCTCTGCTCCAGGGATGCTGCAGGGCACTTTGCTCCTGCGGTGCGGTGCCATAAGCAGGGAGGGGAAAGGCTGCCAGTGGTCATTGCTGGAGTGTTTATTAATTAGAATTAGCTAAATTATCAGGTGAAGGATGCTCATGTCCTCCCTTTGCTGCCTCTTTGATGGAATTTTTGCGTGTTGATGGGATAAACCATCACAGCAGTTAAACACAAGCGGCTGCTCCATCACTGGCTCCACTTTCCCATCACTGCTGGGAGAGCTCAGCACAGAGAGGTGTAAATAACCAGAGCCCCTCAATTAACCCGGCATTGCCGGTGGTAAATCACCTGCCAGCTGCCAAATGGGCTTGGAAACATCAGCGAGGCTTCCATGGGGCTGTCTGATGGCTCTTAGTAACCTCAGTGTGAGTGGGAAACTCATGGACGGTGTGCCTCCACCAGTGCCTTGGCAAAGCTGGGGCTCAGGTGCTTTTGGGGGTCTGCAACGAGCTGCTTGTGCAAGGGTGCTGCAGTCATCTTGAAGGATGCAGGAGCCAGTTCAAAGGATGCAGGAGCCAGTTCAAAGGATGCAGGAGCCAGTTCAAAGGATGCAGCAGCCAGTTCAAAGGATGCAGCAGCCAGTTCAAAGGATGCAGCAGCCAGTTCAAAGGATGCAGCAGCCAGTTCAAAGGATGCAGCAGTCAGTTCAAAGGATGCAGCAACCTCTCAAAGGATGCAGCAGTCAGTTCAAAGGATGCAGCAGCCAGTTCAAAGGATGCAGCAGTCAGTTCAAAGGATGCAGCAGCCAGTTCAAAGGATGCAGCAGTCAGTTCAAAGGATGCAGCAGCCAGTTCAAAGGATGCAGCAGCCAGTTCAAAGGATGCAGCAACCTTTCAAAGGATGCAGCAGCCAGTTCAAAGGATGCAGCAACCTTTCAAAGGATGCAGCAACCTTTCAAAGGATGCAGCAACCTTTCAAAGGATGCAGCAACCTTTCAAAGGATGCAGCAACCTTTCAAAGGATGCAGCAACCTTTCAAAGGATGCAGCAACCTTTCAAAGGATGCAGCAACCAGTTCAAAGGATGCAGCAAGCCACCCCTGGCTGCGGGGCAGCGCAGATGGGGGCAGAGGAAGGGTGTGCTGCAGGGGATGAGGATGCTTCTGGCTGCCCTCCCTCTGCCCATCCCCGCAGGAGTACCCGCTGTCAGCACTGGCCGGGACCTTGTGCCGCTGCGGCTTCCCCACCACGCTCTTCACGCTGCACGAGCGCGAGGACGAGCAGCTCTGCGCCCAGAGATGCGCCGGCGAGGAGTTCGAGAGCTGCGGCACCTCCGAGTACCTCCTCGTGTACCAGACCCAAGTGCAAGGTGAGGTGGTGCCGGGCTCACCCGCCCCGCAGGGATCGCTCCGGTATGGGGGCTGGCACCAGTTTTCCATCCCCTTTCCCAGGAATGCCGACAGAAAGGGAGCGCGAGCTTGCGGCATCCGTTTGGCTTTCATTAAGGATTAGCATTTATTTTAATTTCCTGGGAAATCAATCCTCCCCTGAACAAACAGCTTTAATTACTGCCTGACTCAGCTGCAGGGTACAGCACTTTGCCATCTGCCTCCGGCAGCATCCCTCCTTGCCGGTGCTTGTCCCTCCTTGTCGCTGGTGGTACCCGGCATGCCGGAGCCTGCGGCCGGTGCTGAGCACACTGGGGCTTTGCTGGACAAAGGGGACAAGCTCCATGGAAACCCATGGGGGGAAAAGAGCTGTGAGCAGGCTGAAAAGCCTTGGGAAGCTGTGTGGAATGGGTTCCTATGGATAGGAATGCATAGCTGTGTAGAATGGGCACTGCCCTGCAGGCAGTGGGACCAGTAGGAACAGGGAAGCACAGAGCAAGGGGAAACCTGTTGCTGGGAGAGGAAAGGAGCAAGTGAGGACCCAAATTCGGGTGGTTTTGCTTCAGAGCAGCTCCGTCTCAACACGATCCCTGCTTTGGCATCCGAGGCCGTGCTGGAAACACTTGTGCATTCGTTGATATAAAAAGCAGGAATATTGCTTGGCAAACGCACCCGTGTTACTCACTCTTCCCTAATCACGCAGGCAGCAAGCAGCTGGTAAGGGCAGAGCACCTCCTGCTCTCTTCTTTAGGACTTTTTGGGGTGTTTAAGGCTTTTTTTGGGGTCTTCAGGAGCATCCCACGTGCTTTAGGCAGGGCGCCTTTCCCTATAGCTTCCACCTGCTCCCATCCTGCCCCAGCATCTTCCCAGGAGGCAGGAGCCGTAAGGAAGCAGGATATCTCTGTGGGATAAGCACGCTGCTTATCCATGATGTTTGTCCACCCCTGACGTGCCTGTTCCCACTGCAGACAACCGCTGCATGGACAGGAGGTTTCTCCCGACCCGTGCCAAGCAGTTGGTGGCCCTGGCCAGCTTCCCTGGCGCCGGCAACACTTGGGCACGGCACCTCATCGAGCTGGCCACCGGCTTCTACACGGGCAGCTACTACTTCGATGGGTCTCTCTACAACAAAGGTGAGGGGGATGTTGCTGCCGGGGGTGCACCGGTCCCACCTGAGCTGGGAGAAGGTCCTGGTGCCATCCCTTGGGTCCATATGGAGCCGGGTACCACTGATGCTGCTTCATGGGATGGTTTGGGATGTGTGTGTCCTGGTACAAAGGGTATCGGAGGGACCTGATGTCGTGTGTGCACTGTCCATAACCTCCCTGTGATGCCCACTAACCTTGGCAGGGGCCAGTTTGGGGGTTCTCCATGATGCTGGTGGTTTGTAACCCACCGTGGGGATTGGAATTTTCTAGAAGAGGGACTGGGGTGACCCTGATCCAGGCAAATGAGGCAATTCTTGTGGTTTTTACCCCAAGAAAAGGATGATGGGACCAAGCATCAAGGATGAGCTTAAAGCCAAAAACAAAGCTCGAGGCAGGCATGAAGCTTTTAGAGGCAGAAACCAGCTCCTCCTAATAACCCACCATACTGCAAGGGGGAGGGAAAACACCGGTTTCCCATTTTATAGCCATTTACAATAGTTTTATTGTAGATGTTGAAGGTTTCTTCTGCTTTTCCTTCTCCTTTTGCAGCTCTAAGAGGAAATCCTCCTTGCCTGGGATCTGTACCTGGGGTGCCCATGTAGCTGGTGGGGTCTGTACCCAGGATAACCCCAAAACCCTGTTGATCTAACACCATAGGCAACACATCTCTAGTTGCTGTAATACAGCCACTTCCAGCTTATCTTCCCCCTTGGCTCTGCCAACACACCATTCCCGGCTAGCCTGGGAGGTTCTGCTTTGCCAGGAGTACAAGGGGGATGGGAATGATGCTGAGCTCAGCCCTGAGACTCCATCTGGAGACACAGGGGATGCGGTCCCCTCTGTGGGACCCCCCCATGGCATCACCACAGCCCTGTGCTCATCTGCAGCCCCATGAGCAGGAGGGTTTTTCCCCTTTATACTCCGTTCGGGAGAGGGATGCAGATTCTACCTGAAGCCCCACCTGCTTTTATCCGGCCGTATTTTACAGCCTGGAGTTCCTCCATCATTCCCTTTCCCTGGTTTTTATCCCCATCAGCACTGGCCACGTCTCACTCGCTCTGTCCCGGCAGGGTTCAAGGGCGAGAGGGACCACTGGCGAAGCGGGAGGACGATCTGCATCAAAACCCATGAGAGTGGCCAGAAGGAGATCGAATCCTTCGACTCGGCCATCCTGCTCATCCGAAACCCCTACAAGGCGCTCATGGCTGAGTTCAACCGCAAATACGGGGGGCACATCGGCTTCGCTGCCCATGCCCACTGGAAGGGCAAAGGTAGGGCTTGGCTCCCATGGGAACCTTTTTGGGGTGTCCCTGTTAGAGGATCATAGAATCCCAGAGTGGTTTGGGTTGAAGGGAACTTAAAGCTTTGGGCAGCCCATTCCAGTGCCTCAGCACCCTCACAGGGAGCAGCTTCTGCCTAAGAGCTCATCTCAGTCTCCCCTCTGGCAGGTTAAAGCCATTCCCCTTGGCCTGTCCCTACATCCCTTGTCCCAAGCCCCTCTCCAGCTTTCCTGCAGCCCCTTCAGGCACTGGAGCTGCTCTCAGGTCTCCCCTTCAGGAGCCTTCTCTTCTCCAGGCTGCCCCAGCCCAGCTCTCTCAGCCTGGCTCCAGAGCAGAGCTGCTCCAGCCCTTGCAGCATCCCCATGGCCTCCTCTGGACTTGCTCCAACAGCTCCACATCCTTCTTATGCTGGGGGCCCCATGTCCATCTTGTAGCACAACCTCAGCATCACCTGGCACGGCTGAGGTGGGATGGGATGGGATGGGGAATTGGGGATGCTTGGCTGGTCAGTGCTGCGTTAGGTCGCAAGAGCAGCAGCCAGGAGGTGGCATTGCCCAGGGACACGAGTCTGACAGCATCCTGGTGCCAGTGGGGAGGGAATTGATGGGCAGGAGCCCAAGGACCCAAACTGCCCCTTCTTTGAGGCAGCTTTTCAAGGCCACCCCTTGGCTGGGCAGGTCAGAAGAGGTTAGAAGCAGAACAGCATCCATGACCCTATGGACAAGGGGGTGTCGGGGTGTTGTTTCTGTGCGCCAGCTGCTCCGGAGGCGCTACCTTTCCCATGCACAGGCCTACGATGGAGGCTTGTTAATTACAGCAATTTACAAATTGCTGTTGTGGAATTGGCTTCATTGGAAAGAGTTAAAATATTTAGCTTGATTGAACATCTGCTACCCTTAATTCCGAGTTTATTTAAGGGGAGCTTTTGCTGTTGTTGCTGTTATGTGCCTGGATTTCGTTATCGCCATGCGCTTGCAGCGCCGGAGACGACCCACTTCCACTCTGCCCATCAATCCCATCCCTTAAAACCAGGGAAGGGACACGTCCCACTGCTTCCTCAGTGGGTTTTCTCCCGTGGCAGGTCCCTGGGTTGGCATTGCCCCCTGTTGTGGTGGGTTACGAGCCTTTAGGTGGGCTTTATCCCCATCTGCTGCATCCCAAAGCACAACTGCAGATTGCAGAGGGGGAAATCCATGAGGATCCCTCATCCTGGGAACCTTCCTGAGCTTCCAATCCCCCCCCATGCCTGCTCCATGCCTCATACCCCTGAGGGAAGGGGTGGGCCAGGCAGAGGGGCCCCTTCCCTTCACCCTGCATGATCCAATTTGGATCCACATCAAAATACACGACCGGATTCTTTCCAGAGGCTGTACAGTGTAATTAGCTGATGGGTTAATTGTCAGGTTAATTCGCCATTGGAACAGCTTGCCGGGGAAGATGGAGCTTTTCCATCGCTTGAGGGTTTTATCTGGCTGGGAGGGATGCTGAGAGCTGCGGTTTGGCATCAAGAAGGTGGCAAAGAAAGACCCCCATTTCACTGACTTTATGGAGGACCCTGAGCATGGAACTAGGTGTCCCTTGGGACCATCAGCACCCACCCTGCCCTCCTCCCAGTGTGGGAAGTGAACACTCAATGGGGACAGGTCCTTTGCGTCGGGGTTGCATTTAGTGCCGGGTGTGATGTTAAACACATCATCCAGAGGGCAAAAAGTGATTAAAGGTGGGTAATGAAGACAGGGGCACGGGGCTGCCGTCCCCATCCTGCCCTGCAGACAGCCCCTTGCTCCCTGGAACCCCAATCTCCAAACCACTTCCTTCTCCCAGGAGCTAATTTGGGATGAATTTAGGGAAAAATCCTCATCCTCACCCACAGATGCTAGTGCTGGGCCAGGGAAAAGGGGTAGATTTTCCTCCCCCCCCCATTCCCAGCCCCATGTGGAGCCCACAGGCACCGTGAAGCCCTGTTTGGTTCCATGACATTAACTTTACGCTGTCCCTGGAGCGGTTCCAAAGCAGTTTTATGTGCCATGATTACACAAGGTGGATTGTCCTGTGTGTGTTTAATGAAACAGATACTGTGTTTAATGATTCTGCGGGGAATTAGGTACAGCCAGGCTATTAATCAGGCATCACTTGTGTGGGGAGGACAAGAGGAAGAGGCAGGTACCCAGAGCTTTTACGAACCACAAGATGGATGCGAGCGGCGCTTCCGTGGAGAGTTGTGGTTTATTATTGATGTTCGGTATCCCTTTTACCACCTGATTGCTATGGGGGGATCAGTCAGGGAGGAGGATAGAATCATAGAATAGTTAGGGCTGGAAAGGACCTTAAGATCATCCAGTTCCAACCCCCCTGCCATGGGCAGGGACACCTTACGCTAAACCATATCACCCAAGGTTTGTTCAACCTGGTCTTGAACACTGCCAGGGATGGAGCATTCACAACCTCCCTGGGCAACCCATTCCAGTGCCTCACCACCCTTACAGGAAAGAATTTCCTCCTTAGATCCAATCTAAACTTCTCCTGTTTAAGTTTTAACCCATTACCCCTTGTCCTTTCACTACAGTCCCTAATGAAGAGTCCCTCCTCAGCATCCCTATAGGCCCCCTTTCAGACACTGGAAGCTGCTCTGAGGTCTCCACGCAGCCTTCTCTTCTCCAGGCTGAACAGCCCCAACTTTCTCAGCCTGTCTTCATACAGGAGGTGCTCCAGCCCCTGATCATCCTCGTGGCCTCCTCTGGACTTGTTCCAACAGTTCCATGTCCTTTTTATGTTGAGGACACCAGAACTGCACACAATGCTCCAGGTGAGGTCTCACAAGAGCAGAGCAGAGGGGCAGGATCACCTCCTTCGCCCTGCTGGTCACGCTCCTTCTGATGCAGCCCAGGACACGGTTGGTTTCTGGGCTGTGAGCACACACTGAAGCCAGCTCATGTTCATTTTCTCATCGACCAACACCCCCAAGTCCTTCTCCGCAGGGCTGCTCTGAATCCCTTCTCTTAACCTTGCACTTGGCATGGTTAAACATGGAGAACAGCAAGGGCTCAGCCCTGGGGTGCGGGAGGCCACGGGGGACACCCCACTGCCATTAACCCTGCCATTAACCCTGCCATTAACCCTGTCCTCCCAGAGTGGCCGGAGTTCGTGGCGAATTACGCACCGTGGTGGGCGACCCACACCCTGGACTGGCTGCGCTACGGCAAGAAGGTGCTGGTGGTGCACTTTGAGGACCTGAAACGGGACCTGTTCGTGCAGCTGCAGCGGATGGTGGGGCTCCTGGGCATCGCTGCCTGCGAGGACCGGCTGCTCTGCGTCGAGGGCCAGAAGGATGGCAACTTCAAGCGCTCCGGTTTGAGGAAGCTGGAGTACGACCCTTACACCCCCGAGATGAGGAAGGTGATCAGTGGCTACATCCGGACGGTGGACACGGCTCTGAAGCTCCGCAATCTCTCGGGGGTCCCTGAGGATTACTATCCGAGATGATGCTGACCGCGGCGGGGGGACCCGACCCTGCGCGGCAAGGAAAGGCTCGGTCTTCCCGGCCTCTGCCTGTTCCACCCAGTGGGTGGCTTCTCTTTTAATGCTCCATTTGCTGCTGTTAGCTGTCGATCAACTCCCTGCATGAGCGACGAATGGTCCCAAACCATCGCTGAGCTTGCTTGGGCGACGCCGATGTGGACCCAAGGGGATGCGGGTGCTTTCCTTGCTGCGGCATTCCCGCTCCTGCTGCAGCCCTCCTTGGCAATGCAAAGGGTGCTTTGTCCCCTCGGGCTGGCTGGGGGGGATGCTGCATTGCTCGGGCAGTGCCTGATGCATCCTATGGCAGTGGGCATCCCCAAACTCCCCTCGCTCATTGGCCAGCCCTGGAAGGATGCAGCTCATCCCTGCATGGATCCCATTGGAAGGAGAGACCAGGGGGTCGGTACCATGTGGGTGATGCTCCGTGGATCTGGTCAGAGGTTATGGGAATGGGGAAGGCTGTGCTGGGGAGGTGGCTGTGTCCTACCTGCACAGTCCCTTGGCTCCATGGGCACCCTGGGGATGGGGAATCCCTGGGATGAAGCTGGTGTTCCAGACAGTGCTGCTGCTCCAGCCCCAGTGTCCAGAGGGGGGCCGTGACCCCCCACCTGTGGGGTGGCAGCCACCCCTATGCATGTGGGTGTTGCTCAAGAGGGAGATGTTGGCCCTGGACAGAAGAGCTTATGGGACCCACAAGTCCTCACTTCAGAAGCTCACAAGCCAGGAGCAGTTTTGGGGGCTCCAAGTGGGGTCCGTGCTGCAGCTCAGCTGCTTCAAACCCTGCACATCCTGGGGCTGGGCTTTTAGGTGTCCCTCCGGCCAAACCCCATCCCAAAACGGGTCCCTGCTGCCAAGCAGGAGAAACCAAAGGATCCCCGTGGGCATCGGGAAGATGCCCCATGCCAGGCTGGCTTTGTGCAGTGCTGCATGTGGTCCCCAGCCATGTCCCCTCCCTGTGCCACCTTCCCAGCCCATCCCTGCCCTGGCTTCGCCCCCACCTCCTTCCAGCCTGCAAGTCCCCTTTGGATGTAGGTGCAAAAGCCATATATTGTACGCAGCCTTTTCTAGAGTTAGGTATTGAACGACTGGCTTTTAACTCTTGATCTCGATAGAAACCCATGCGCAGGCCGAAAGCCCAGAGCCACCCCCAGTCCTTATTCCCAGAGAGAAGAAAACTCCAGGAGGAAAAAAGGAGGATTTAAATCAGCTCTATTTTTCTACTGCACGAGTGGGGCAGCGAGGGCAGGGCCGGGGCGCTCCCGTCCCCATCCCTTGGCGTGGAGGTGGGAGAATGGGTTTGTAGGGAGCATCTGCCCTGTTTTGAACTCTTCCCTTGACAAACGGCTGGAGGTTTTCCAGGAGAGGCAGGGAGCCCCATCCCGGCAGTGGGAACCGAGCCTCCCTCGCTCAGAACAAACCCTCAGGTCAATCCAGCTATTAAAGGAGAGTTCTTGTTGCTATTCTGCCTTCCCGTGTGTTTGTGGGGCCGGCCCGATGCCTGCCATCCATCCCAGCCCCCCTGGGCTGCAGGAGCAGCTCCTCTCCCCCTGCCTTGCATCGCATTGATGCTCTCTCTGCATGCGAGCCACTGCCAACGCAACCAGCTCCTGCTTGGGAGTTTTATTCCCTTTATAGCGGCCTTAAAGACAGGTTTATTGGGGTGCGTGGTGGGAGCGGGGAGATTTACTGCTGGCTTTGCTCCCATTGCCTCCCATCCTTCCCGAGCTCCGGAGCAAGAGCAGGCTGGGTGCTGTTAATCCCTTTCCTCTTGGCTGGTCTTTTTCTATGTGGAGTTGGAGAAATCCCTGGGGTTTCCATAGCCCTGGGGTTGCAGCAATCAAGGTGCTTGCTGTGCGGGATTTGTTCCGATGGGCATCAGCTGAGGAAGGGGCAGTGTTGCCTTCTGCCCCTGCAGGAATTAAACCCCAAAAGCCAATTAATGTCTAACATCGCTAATCTCTGCCAGTTCATCTCTCTGGCATCTCTATAGACCCCCTTCACATGCTCAGGCTATAGCTTTGGAAGGGGAGATGTGTTGGGGGGTGCACCCAGCACCCCCACATCTGCACAGCCCAAGGGCATCACCTCCACACACCCCTTCAGAGCAGGGAGCAAAAGGGCTGAGGCAGCTCCCTGAGCACCAGCACCAGCACCTTACCTCTCCTGTTTATCCCCTCACTGTGGCTTTAAGGCTCCCTGCACCTCAATGCCTTTATTTCACCGCAACTCTTTAATCTGGTTTTAATTTGCAATGACACGGAGGGGTTGGACATCGTTCCCTCCCTATAAGTGTGTGCTGCACATCTGGCTGCACACGCAGACACATGCACCCCACATGGGGAGGGTACCGTGTCTTAGCCTCCATCCCTGCTCGTGCACTGGCTGCTGCAAGCAGGAGCTGAAGGGTGATGGTTTATCTTCTCTTTACTTATTAAATTCCAGGCTATATTTTTACCACATGGGACTGGCACGCAGTAATAAAACTGATCTCCCCACCTCCCCACCCCAGGAAGCCAACCATCCTTTCTGCATCATTTTCACATGCAAAGCTCTTGACATTTAATAGCCTGCCTCTAATGCCATTAGCCTGGTTCATCGGAAGCACTGCCATGTGCAGGCAAGGCAGGCAGCGCCCAGGGATTCCAGCATGGGTTCTAAAAGCAACGGATCTTAATGCTTGCCTCAGCCCCAGCGAGCCCTGAGCATCCCTGGGTGGGAGCAGGAACCTCACACGGCCTCAGCATGGGGCTGGGGGTGACCCTGATCCCCCTTCCCATCTTCCTGCACTCAGACCCAGCTATTTTCCACACTGTCTCATCCCCGGGAATGATTTCCTGCCTCCCTGGTCCTGCATCGGCAGAGGCTGCAGCATCCAGCATCCTCCCTCCTGGGCTGGATGGGTTTCCCTGTGTTGCCGTAGCAACAGCGTCTGCACCAAAATTCCCTGCTTTTTCCCCCAATTCTATGTGGGTTTTATGCTCAACAGGCCCTGGAGGAGATGATGCTGCAGGAGATGATGCTAAAGAGCAGCTCAGGCTGGCAAAAGGGAGTGAATGCCCCTTTGGGCTGGATTTAGGGGGTTCGGGTCAATGACCCTAGCGATGCAAATGATGCGGGGGCTGAGGTCCTCCCAAATTAAACCCCACACAACGTTCATGCTGCTGTTTAAACGAGAGGGAGCTAACCCACCTCAGCGGCACAAAGGGAGAAGCTGTGCCAGCACTTCCCCAAAGGCTCTATAATGGAGGGGAGATGGGGGTTATAAATCTGAGCAGCAGCAGCAATATTCATGCCTGACCAAAGAGGCATGTTTATTTATCAGCTTTACTATTCCCCATCAAATTTACAGTTGACAATCTGCCTGAATGGAATGGAGATAATTTAACCACGGCCCCAACCCTCCTGGCACCCAAGGAAGGGGAAGAGCAGCGTGTTTATTCCTTTTCTTCCCAATTCCAATCCCCAATAAAGGCAGTGATTTATGGGGGAAGGGAAGCACAGCTTTATTTCGGGGCTGTGGCAGCTCATTGAAAAAGAGCAGTCATTAAGGACAGTGATGTGTTCCACAGAGGTGGGGTTGGTGTATTCGGGAGTCATTTCCCAACTGCTTGGGTGAAATGAGACCCAGCCCCAAGGTTTGGGGCCCTGGAAGTGGTAGGGAATGAGGGAATGGGAATGAGGGTCCTGGGATGGAATTTGGGGTCCTGGGATAAGATTTGGAGCTCTAGATGGGGGTGTTTGGCATTGGGGTCAGTGTCCCAGCTCCGAAACCTGCTCTTCTTTCCCCTCCATCCCTGCCCTGCCCTCAGATCATGACCCCTTAACCGCAGGTCTCACGCAGGTGGCTCCTCATCCCGCTCACCTCTTAAGCCTTGGATGCTAAACCCAGTTACCAATTTCTCCATCTCCTGGCCAAAAGGAGCTGCAGGTCCCCCCCGGTTGCTGCTGTGCTGGCACAGAGCAGGGCTGGTTTGTGCCACCCAGCCCTGGAGCCACAGCCCCAACTGAGCCGCTTCCCTGGATGCTAATTGCAGCTTTGCCCATCGCCCTCGAGCCATTGACCTCCTGCCAACACTCATCAAGGGGACGGCATTGATTCATAGCTAAGGACATCACCGAGCCCAGTGCATCCGTGCCTGCGAGACCAGGGGGATGGCGAAGCAGAGGGACACCTCCAAGGACTCATCCTTTAATATCCCGGACCTTCCCATCGCCACAGGGGACTGCAGCCGGCATTCCCTCCCCTAAAGGAACAAAACAGCTGGCACGGATGAATCCTCACCATCCCCACGAGATGCCGGGGCTGTGGTTAGGGCATATCAAAGGCATTGGGGCAATACTGAGCTGCATTTCTTTGCCTCTCTGCCAAAGGGAAAGACAAACCCATGCGCACGGCGAGGCTGTGCTGGAGCTGGGGGATGCGTGTTTCTGTCCTGTTTCTGCTTTGTATCCCTGCGTTTTTAATGCTCCCTGTTTGATCTGTTCTGCCTGCCTTGATGGGTGACATGGGAACAGGAATCACTGACATCCCCCGGGGGGGGGGGCTCACTCAGTGCTTGGCAGGTTACAAGGTTCAGCACCTAAACTTGGGGGGGTTCTCCCTTCTCTTCCCCATCCTCATCCCTCATGGCCGGATGGGGCGAACCAGCAGTGGGAGGGATGGAGCAGCAACGTGCTGCTTGTACCAGGGTGTTTGGGTGCATATTGGGGTGGGGGTGAAGGGTTTGACCCCCTCCTGCTGCCCCACTGAACAAGGGGAATGGATAAGTACAAGAGTACAAAGTGGGTCTGTGGGGGGGTTATGGATTGCAGGAGGTGATGGGGAGATGCAGGCAGGTCCCAAGCACATTTCCCCACCCTGAAGAGCCATTTGACCTCTTTAAGGACAACTTAAATGGGGAAACCCACAAGGAGCATCTTTAGATCCCCCATAGGAGAGGCTTAGAGCATCACACTCCTATCTCAGCCATAAAGCCTCCGTCCCTCATCCCTGTGCCCCTCTCCTCCTGCCTGCTTTCCTGCAATCCCGAATTCAGCACCAGGGATCAGGAATATACACTAGGAAGCGACTGCTTACTGAAAAGCAGTGGGATCTTTCCTGCTCCATGCAATGAGCTTGGGAGCATAAGGGTGCATTTGTATGTAAAACAGGGGTTTTATTAAATAGGCAAACAGCTACAAAGGCAAACTCAAATATTAGGTCTCCCAAGCTGTCAGTGTAATGATGATTTAACCCAAGGTTATACAGCGAGCTGTCACTCTCTCGTTTGAAAGCTGTTTGCAGCAATAATGGATGGGCTTGCCAATTCCAGCCATGGAAATTAGTGAGGAGCATCCCCAACCTGGCACAGGCTGGGAGCATCCCAAACCAGGACCGAAGGGCAATAGGATGACACTGCGTCCTCGAGGGACACGGGCTGCCCGGTGAGAAGAACCTCTTCCCACCATCAAAGCCTTCCTCCCCTGCAGCCTCCTCGGTCACAGCATCTTCCAAGGGTATGGATCAGGCCCACGTTTTGTGGGAAAACTGTATGGATGGTCCCTGCAGGCAGCTCAGCGCTGGGCATTGCTCCCTGGGAAGCAGCAACACTGCTCATCCCGATAGTTCCCAGCCCTAGGAGACATGGGCACCCAACAGGCAGCATCACCAATCTGTCATTCATTTCCCTTATAATCCCATCCCCTGCTGTATTCCCTTGCTGGGCTCAGGCTGGACACCCTTTGTTTCCAGGATAAACCCCTCCTGCACCCCACTTCTCAGCATCCTCCATCACTGAGGACAAACACATCAGAGCACACACCATCAGCAGCACCACAAGTGCAGCCAAACACAGTGGATCCATCACATCCCTGTCCCAGGGATGCTGCAATGCAATGGGAGAGGAGCAACAGCTTCATGTGGTGCAGGTGCTCCCCTCTCCCCATCACATTGATGCTAATGAGGTGATGCAGATCAAGGCAGATGCATGAGGCGGTGCAGGGGGTGGATGGGAGGCCTGATAATCTGCCTCAAATCCAGCTCCTGCTGCAGCATCCACTATTATCCATGGCATTCCGGGCTGCAGCTCAGTTACTGGGGCTTTGTGATTGGGTTTGTATCAGTGTCTGGCATGAGCTGCTGATGGGAGCCTGGAAATAGCTCCGTGCCTTTTGCTTCTTCATTTTGTATTTCCAAATAGCTTTCAAAAAGCTGTTTTCTACACCTTTTAAATAAGCCACCAATAAATAGCTCAGCATTGGTGACCAGCTCCCAACTGCCCCCACGCCAGCCCTCACACAAAGCATCGCTTGGGCTGGGACCCTCAGGAGCCCCCTGAAATACCCCTGGTGCCAAACCTGGCTCCAGGGATGGGCTCTGCTCCTGCACCCAACGCAGGGGAAGGACTCGGTCATTCCTTGTTTCCTGGGAACGAGGGGCTGTGGGTGACACAGCGAAACCAGCACATCAATAAGCGTGACACCGGTGTCACGGTCAAGAAGGCCAAATGGTGCAGGAGCTCCCAAGTTAACTGTGCATGAAATTGGATGGAGACAGTGGCTCGGTCCATCCCTCACCGCAGAGCTTTGTGTGCAGCAGCAGAGATGGGCTTGCTGCCTGGCCGGGAAGGACAAACTCATCCCATAGGAGTGATGGATCACACCAGGGAGCAGCCATCAGGGGAGCCAGGCCCGGGCTCTGGGTCACTTAGAAGACATGCAGGATTTCCTGGTTGGGATATTCAAATCCTCCCCTATGAAGGCACTTCCCAGGCTGTCTCTGGGTACCAAGTGCTCACAACACAGCTAAAACCACTGTGATAGTACCAATATACTTTAGGGCTTTAACATAAGTAGCTATATGCATACGTAGGACACAGGGAGAGTGTCACATTTTGCCATAACAAGTGTCATCCATGGTGGATTCCCACCCAGCCACCACATCCTCTGCCCAATCTCCCATTAGGAATGGCTCTGGAAGTGGCAGGAATGCCTTTGCCAGGCCAGGCAATGCATGGACTAGACAGGAATGCCCTCAAATGTTCTCTTAAGTAGTTTGGTGCAATGATCTTTGCAATTGCCATGGAAGATGAAGGGCAGCTGTATCTTCCCCATGTACATAAAGGGGCAGTTCCAACCCTTACCAGCCCCTGGGCAGCAAGACCAGAGTAAAGAATACACTACAGGACAGCGCTGGACCATGCTTGTCCCAAACAAGGGGCCGTTGCAAGGGTTGGCCACCATCACAGCGATGAGGATGGGCAAACAGCAGAGGTTGAGTTTAGAGGACTGTTGTTTCCTTCTCAGTCATTGAGGACATCTTGGAGAAGCTCCTGTGCACGATGCTGGAGTGTCCCGTCTCCTCGCTGAGGGCATTCACCAGCCTGGAAAGGATGGTGACCTTAAACTTCTTGAAGTCCTGGCCCATGAAGACATAGAGGACAGGATTCATGCAGCTATTGGAGGCAGCGAGCGCCGTGGTTATGGGGATGCTGATCTCGAACACGGAGCGCGGGACCACGTCGGGCTCCGTTTCCAGGAGGTTCAGGAGGTGGTAGGGGCTCCAGCAAAGGAAGAAGGTGACTATAATGGTGACGATGATCTTGAAGGGCTTTTTGGACTTGGCGAGGCGGTTCCGGCGCAGGTTGAAGGCGATGGCGACGTAGCAGAACGTGATGATGGTGATGGGGAGGATGTACCCGGCGAGGAACCTGGTGATGTTCACGGTCCGGTGCCTCACCAGGGCCAGGGCTTGGTAAGACTTATTCCTGGAGAGGGAAAAGTTGCTGAAACAGATCACGGAGTTACGGGCTTGTGCAGTGTCCCGGAAGACAAGAGATGGGCAGCTCATGATGATGCCGATGGTCCAGATGATCAAGCAAACTAAATAGGCTAAGTTGGTCGACCGATGGTTTTGAGACCAGACAGGAAACACCACTGACACGTAGCGATCGAAGCTGATGGTGGTGAGCAGAAGGACACTGGTGTACATGTTGAGGATGAGGAGGAAAGAGTTCAGCTTGCACATGACTGTCCCGAAGATCCAGTTGTACCTCATGGCGGTGTAAGCAATGTTTATGGGCAGGAAGATGTTGAAGAGGAAGTCGGCAACGGCCAGGTTGAGGAACCAGATGGCATTGACCGACTTCTTCATCTTCAGAGTTATGATGGCAATGACAAGGCCGTTCCCCAGGATGCCCAACACGCAGGACACGCTGTAGATGATGACAGAGAGGATCCTTGCGATGTCCTTTGGGTCGTGGGATGGGTCTGTCCACACACTGCTGGTGGTCTCCTCATAGGTGTAATCTGGGTAATCACTGTAGTTATCGACATCATCCAAGTAGTTGGACAGATTGGAAAGCGCCATTGTCGGAACACAAATCACAGCCTGCTCAGTCCTGGCGATGCTGCTCTGTGCTTCTGCTGAGCAAACACATGGTGTTAATCACAGCAAGCACAGCCACAGGACGGGCACTGGAGACAGGGAATGCAGTACGCACGGATACGGAACCCCATGGGTCGCTGGCCACGGAAGAAGATGCTCCTGTGGCTCTTCACTGGGTTTCTACCTCCCAACCAAGAGCCAGCCATCAGCGCCCTGAGCTGCAGGACGTGATTCAGCCCCTTGTGTCCTCCAGGATGTGGCTGTAGCCTCATCCTGCAGAAAACGCCTCTTACCCGCCTACTTCCAGGGTTAAAACGAGGATGCTACCGATTAACAGCCCATTAACAGCTCTGAGCCCTTCCAGTCTGCAAAGCCCTTATGGCTCTGCTCTTCCTTTCTCCTGAGCACCCCAGACTGGACTGAAAACCCAGCAGGCAGCTCACCACTGGCCCCACTGATGCCACTGTGGGACTGGGGGCCCATCTGCTCACCTCTCCCCTCTCCAGCGCAGCAGATTCCTGGTGGGATGTGGGGATAGGGATAGGCAGTGTCCCAGGGCACGCAGGCAGCTCCCTCCACGCAGGTTTAGGGACAGAGCTGTAACGTTAAAGCTGAGGTTAAATAAAAGGCCATTCGCCCTCGGATGTGGGGTTAAGGGAGGAAACGGACTTTGCCACGCTGTGATTTAACCCTGTGCAGCCTCCTTGGGATAACCCAGCACAGCAACCCTGTACCGTGCACTCAGCACCAACATCCGATGCAAACCAGCATGCAAAGAACCCTGCAATCAAGCCCATGGCAATGTTATAACAAATAATGAAAGCCATAAATAAGAGCGAGGTGCCTGGGCTCTCCCACTGTTATTTCCCTGATTAAATCAGTGCCCAGCCTGCTTTCAAATGTTAATTGCAACAACCAGCAGTGTCGTTTGCCATGGTCTGGATCCGGCCTCTGCCAGGCACTTAGAGCCCTGCGATAAATGGGTTCAACTGCTCCCCTGTGAACAGCGACAGTGGGTCAATGCCAAGAGCCACCAAAGCCAAACAGCAAAGCCCCAGCACAGGGCATCGCACCCAGCCTAGTCCTTGCAGGGGGGAACATGGCTCTGCCCATCCAGGCTGGACCCTCCTGCTTTCAGGACTCAGAGGTCCCCCCAAGCATCACCCTCCCCACAGCCCTGCTCCGAGCTCCCCATGGTGATTGTTGTAACCTATTGTTTTCTCCCTGGGCTTTTCCTCCTGTTCCTTCCTGCCATTGCTGCTGCTCCCACTGCTCCCACCAGCCAGGGGCTTAAATCACAGCCCCACGGCCTCCCCCTTTCCCGTGCTCCCAGAGAGGAGAAGTGGCCGGGATAAATAAGGTTTTAGTGCAAAGCCCGAGCTGGGAGAGGACCCTGACCCAGCAAGACCTTGCTTGTCAAAGGGATGAATTAAAGTTGATGATCCGGTGAAGTATCAGCACAACTGGCTCCTACAGCGCTGACTGTTCCTGTTCCTGTTCCTGGGTAAGGAGCCATTCCCACCACGGCCCTTATGGACCAGCAGGTTTCTTGTCATCACCTTCCCAAAGGCAAAGTTACAGGCGGGGAGCCCAGAGCCCCGTGTGCATCCCACCCTGTAGCATCCCATCCCACCACCCTTATCCAGAGGCAGTGATGCTCCTCTGTGTGGGAAGAAGCTCCCAAGAAATGCCACCACCCTGTCATTGCCCCCATGGGTCAGCAAGGGACCTGGGGGGATGGACCCCTGCCCCTCGCCACCATGGAGCCAGCCAGACCCCATGTTTACTGCACTTCTTAAGGCAGACAGACAGGGCAAGTGGGGTAAAAGGACACCCCTAACTCCTACCAAGGTTGGCCCTGGTCGCAGCTCAGGATGGGGATGCCTGACTGGACAGCAGCACCAGGGCTCTGTTTCCCCATGGGGTTTGGCAGATGAGGGGCTGGTTTCCAGGGCTCATGTGGAGCCATCACAATCCCCACGGCAGCAGGCAGGGAGCTGCCAAACCCACCAAGAACCTCCCAGGATGTTTCTGGGCACCAGGATCTGAAGCCCAGACCCATTGGAAAATCACCCAGCAAATTCCCACCTGCGCCCCTAACCCCTCCCAAAGCCAGAGGGGGATGAGTGCATGAAACCTCCCATTTCTCACCGCAGAAAAATCCCAGAGTCTGGCATCGAAGACCAAGCCACGCTCGTCAGAGTGTTCCAGTGCTCCGCTCTGGGTTGCAAATACCCAGCTCGAGCCAAAACCACTCGCTCCCCGTTGGGCCCATTCATCTCTGTCCTCCTACCTCAACAAACACGAGCACAGGATCTACCCAAAATAGCCTCTGGTGCAGCCGGCCCCGGCATTCCCGCAGCTGTATTTGCCTTGGTACCCAGGGAAGGCTGAGCCTGGGATGTGGGCGCCGGGCTGGGATTCCCGACGGGCGGCTCGCGCATCGCCAGCATCCCGGCGCGCACCGGGGGAGGATGAGGTCAGGAACTGTTGTTCTTGGGAAGGCAACAGGAAATGGAGAAAACAGCAGAAAAATGTCCAAATCCAGCTTTTCTGGGCGAAAGCTCTTCCCGTGGCCAGCACAGACGGGCGGGGGGACGGATGTGACCGGGGCTGCAGGGAAACGGCCGGATCCGCACGGCGGGATGCGGCTGCCTCCGAGGAGGACTGGGGATGCTCAACACCCCTGCGGTGGGTGCTGCCTGCACCGAGCATTTATGGACAAGCAGGCTTCCTGCCTTCTGCCTCCCCTGTGCCTGCGGGCAATGCTTTTATTGAAGCACTGATACAGGTTGCAGGGGGGGAAGTAATGCAATGAAATCAAATCAGATGAGCAGACCTGCTTTTGGGCGCTCAAGATCCTGCCTGAGCTGTCCAAGCGCATCATGCTTTTACCCATATGATGCTCTGCACTCGGGCTGGGACCAGCCTATGCTTGTGCACAGGGTCCCCCACAAGCACTCCTCCTGTACTGAGGGGTTACCCTTGGGTTAGTGCTTATCCCACCTCAGAGCATCCACAGGGTGCCAAGGATGCGCAGAGCCAGGACAAACCCCTGGGAAGCAGGCGGATGGCCAGGGTGGGCTCTGCAATCCCCGCCAGCCCCTGCAGCTGCTCTGCCTTTGTCCCACTGGAGCATTCCCCCTCCTTCCCAGCAGCAGCTCGAGGTCCCAAACCCCAAACCCGCTTCCTCCGGCACACGTGGGAGCAGCCGGGCTGCCCACGCAGCCCCGATCCCGGAGATGGGAATTGCAGGCAGATGTTTGGGGGGAACATGTGGTCGCTCAGCTGGGGAGCTTTGGGGAGGGCACGGGGAGAAGCAGCATCTCGAGGTCCCCCTGGACCTGCAGCACCGGTCCCCTCTGAGCTCTGCATCCCTGGATTCCCCCCACAGCAGACACCGGTCCCGGTCCCATGGGAGCTTGGTGCTCTGGTCAAGCTCGAGTCCAACCCTGTGGGGTGGATCCTGAGCACAGCAAACTCTCATTGCTCTCAGCAGGAGCATGCCCTAGGGAAGATGGATGCATGCCCTATCCGTCCCTTTGGCACCCCATTTTTCCAGCACAGCGTTACACTGGAGGGACATCCCCACCAGGATCCAGCATCCAGCCCCACAGTGGCAGCTTCCAGTCCTGTGTGAGGGATTGATTGCCAGCCCTCAGGGGAGCAAGAAAACAAGAGAACGGGAAAGCATCTCTGGGTACCCAGCTCGAATTCACCCTTATTTTAACCAGCAGTTGCCATGGCAACAGCTCCCGCAGGGAGAGATGCTGTGCAGCATCCCTACAAGGATGCCCAGGGGATGGAGCCCCAGCCCTTGGTGTGAACCAGCCACATGCCCATCACAAGGGAGCTCAGGCCACACCACTGCAAAACCCAGACCCTGGCCTGCCCAAAACCTGCTTCCCAGCCACATTCCCAGCCCTGCTACGCATCCCTGGACCCCCTGTCCAGTTCCAGCTGGATACAAGGGGACAGGGATGCGGGATGCAAAGGGAGAGGCAGCGGCAGCACGCTGAGCATCCACATCAACCTAACACCGAGCACATGGGCTCCTGCCAGCAAGGATTCGGGCTGGCATCTCCCAAGTCACCAGCAGCAGGGGACCCCCAAGGCAAAGGACAGGAGCAAAGCCAGTTCCCATAGGGGAAACTGAGGCACCGAGCTCTGCCCCAAGGCAGAGTGCTGGGGAAGTCCAAGCCCTACCTGTTTCCATGGCATTCAGATGCCTCCCAGTTTCACTTCCATGGAGCAGCACTCAGCTCCTTGCTCTTCCAAGACCCCCATTCCCACCTGCCTTCAGCACCCCTGGCTGCTCCCTGCATAGCAGCTAAGGCTCCGTTCCCAGCCTGTGTGAACAGGGGGAAAAAAAACTGGGAATAGCTGGAAAAGCAGCCTTAAAATCTCCGGCTGTGCCCAGGGCGGGACAGAATAACAGCGTGAGTCAGTGTTTGTCTGGGCAGAGCCTGCCAGGCTGCGCAGGGCAGGATGGGTTGGGATGGGATGGGGATGGGATGGGGATGGGGATGGGATGCGGATGGGTCGGGTCTCCACACGCTGCTCCCCAGTGTGGGGTCACCGTGATGGAGACAACACCCAAATCCAGCCAGAACGTGGCATTCAGCCCCAAAGCACAGGGCATGCAAGGCTTTTCCCAGGGGGAAGGAGCCTGCCCTACCCTGGCACTTTGTGTCTTAGCCTGGGGTGCTAAGAGCAACCCCATCGGTAAAAGCCTGGCCCTTTGCTCCTGGGAAGGGTTGAGGAGTAAAGAGGAAAGGCACAGAACCATGGAATGGGTTGGAAGGGACCTTAAAGCTCATGCAGGGACCCCTTCCACTGGAGCAGCTTGCTCCAAGCCCCTGTGGCCTTGAGCACTGCCAGGGATGGGGCAGCCACAGCTTCTCTGGGCACCCTGTGCCAGCGCCTCAGCACCCTCCCAGGGAAGAGCTTCTGCCTAAGAGCTCATCTCAGCCTCCCCTGGGGCAGGTTAAAGCCATTCCCCTTGGCCTGTCCCTACAGGCCCTTGTCCAAAGCCCCTCTCCAGGTTTCCTGCAGCCCCTTCAGGCACTGGAGCTGCTCTAAGGTCTCCCTGGAACCTTCTCTTTCCC